GCCCACATGCTGTCCCAAAGACTGTGCTGAGTGAGAGGGGAATCAGTGTCTCTGATGACCTTGGAGGGACTCTAGAGTCCCTCCGGAGTAAGCGAGAGAGAAATTAGTACTTCTGACACCAGCAGAGTGACTCCTGATTCACATGGAGGATCGGTGCCCTAGCCCTGGTAGGGGGCTGGCAGCACATGGCTCTCTGTGCCATGATGGTGGAGTTTGCTCCAGGTCAGATGATGCCAGTGCAGCTCAGTCTTGCAGTTATCAATTCCAGCCTGCAGCTACAGACCCATCCTAACCAGGTCGGCCTCATCTCTGGAGCACCTCAATCCTGGCCTGTCTGCAGGATTCCTCCACAACTGGGAGGGTTTGTTAGGTGGAAGGAGAATCAGAGAGTGACTCCTGAACGCTGACCACCCAAGGCCTGTGCCTCTGAACATCAGGGGATGCAATCACCAGCTCCTCACTGCGACTTGGGGCTCACTCCCCCGGCCCCAGAATTGACCCATACACAGCCTACTGTGTCACCCACCTGTCCAGCTCATAGGTGCCTGCTTGGCATTTCATCTAGGGATGTTAAGGATTCGTCGACTAGTCGCTCCCTCTCTTGCTGCTTCTATCAGAGGAGGAGAGAAGGGGGGAAGGTACTTCAAAGCGGCAGTGCCGTCCTATCGACTAATCAAATAGTCCATGCAAAAATGCATCAACTATTCGATTAGTCAATTACACAATAATTAACATCCTTAATTTTGCCCAGAAAATACCCCTAGGGTATATTTACACTACAACGTTAATTCGAATTAACTTAGTTCGAATTAGTTAATTCGAACTAAGCTAATTTGAACTAACGGCTCCAGACTAAAAAACTAGTTTGAATTAGCATTTTGCTAATTCGAACTAGCAAGTCCACATTTAGTGGACCCTGAACCGGGCTTAAGGATGGCCGGAAGCAGTGCTGGCAGGGCATCAGAGAAGAACTTAGAGCGTGGAGATGCTTTCTCAGGCTAGCCGAGGGCTGTGCTTAAAGGGTCCCGACCCCCACCCCGGACAGACAGTTCTCAGGGGTGCCCCGCTTGCAAAACAGTCCTGGCTTGGATTGCCCAGAGTACCCACACTGGGCACATCACAGCACTCGGCCATCAGCCCGGCTGCACTTGCCGCAGGCTGCCATCTGGGGAGAGGGGCCAATTGGGGGGCTGCAGGAGAGCTTCCACCCCCAGAAGCCCACAGAGCCAGCCCAGTCCTCCCTCACCTCCTTCCACTTACCCTTCCCTAGCCCCTCTTCTTGATGTACAAAATAAAGATAACATGTCTTCAAAAATGGAAACTGTCTTTATTGAACAAAACAGGGGGAGACTGGGAAAAGGAGGTGGGAGAGGGGAAGAGAGAGGCTGGGAGAGGGGAGGGCAACTAAAATGATCAGGGGTTGGGAACAGGTCCCATATGAAGAGAGGCTAAAGAGACTGGGACTTTTCAGCTTAGAAAAGAGGAGACGGAGGGGGG